CAAGAAACATCGATTAAAAACTTAGAGGTTCAAGTGGGGCAGATTGTAAGCATGTTATCAGAAAGGAAAGAGGGAAGGCTACCCAGCAACACAGAAAAGAACCCTAGAGAGCAAGTAAACGCCATAACTTTAAGAAGTGGGAAAACAGTTGGCGAAATTCAAAGAGAGGACAAGGAAGCTGAAGTGGCCGATCTACAAAAGGAGAATGGGGGAAATACCCCTAAACTGAATCTACATGAAATTAAACTTCCTATTCCCTACCAAGAAGAGTCTTGAAGGCTAAATTAGATAAGTAATTTGAAAAATTTTTAGAAGTTTTCAAAAGATTCATATTAACCTTCCTCTTCTTGATGTTTTGTCACAGATGTCGAAGTATGCCAAATTCCTGAAAGAGGTAATGTGCAACAAAAGAAAGTGGGAGGAAGGTGAGATGGTAAAAGTAAACGAAGAATGCCCAGCCATTCTTCAAAAGAATATGCCCCCAAAACTTAAGGATCCAAGGAGTTTTTCTATACCTTGCACCATAGGGAATACTAAATTTGAAAAAGCTTTATGTGATTTAGGTGCTAGTRTAAATTTAATGCCTTATTCTATTTTTGAAAAACTTGGATTGCATGAAGTAACATCTACAACTGTTATTCTGCAATTAGTTGATCGAAGCATTAAATATCCTAGGGGAATAGTAGAAGATGTTTTAGTTAAAATGGGCAATTTCATAATTCCTGCTGATTTCATTGTGTTGGATATGGAAGAAGATAAGACAATGTTGTTGATTCTTGGGAGACCTTTTCTTGCTACTGGTGATGCTTTAATTGATGTGCGAAAAAGTCTACTTACCCTTAGAATCAATGGTGAAGAAGTGGTGTTCAATGTATTTAAAACCATGGAACATCCCAACACAATTGAACTTGAAATTTATGCAATCGATAGCATTGATGTTGGTGCAGCCGAAATAGACACATCTAAATCAGAAGACACGCTGAAAGTTGCACTTAACAATAGTCCTAATCAATTGCAACAAACAGAGTAGAAGTTTATTCTGAAATCAGAATTGCGAAATTTGACTTCTAAGCCAGATTCTTTTGAAATTACAATTCATAATGCATCTTTACCTCCATCTCACACAAAACCCCTCCCATCTATTGTGCAGGTCCCCATTCCAAGTTTAAACCCACCTATGAAGGATGAAAGGGGGAAACATAGGAAGTTAAAAACCAAGTGGGGTGGACCCTTTAAAGGGGTTAAAGTATTCCCTCATGGAGCGATTGAAATACATAATGATGATGGGAGTACATTCAAGCTTAATGGATAGCGGTTGAAGCATTACATTGAAGGAGAACAACCCATCCACCATGGGTCCATTCTCTCCTTGAAACCGCCATGAAAGCAAGGTGAAAGTCAAGCTCACGACTTAAAATGAGCGCTTGTGGGAGGCAACCCATTAAGTTTAGTTGATTGTTTTGTTCAATTTTCTTTATTTTTTATGAGTGTGTTTTTTTTTGTAGCTCACATTTGTAGGATCTCAACGAGGCATTCAGGGAAGTCCTCTCAAATCTCTCTCCTTGTTCTTGTTATGCATACATTGAGGATAATATATATCTTAAGTGTGGGGGAGGATTAAGGGATTGATAAACAATTTTTTTCCGGACCCTAGCATGCTTTTATCATCACTTTTTAACATTTCCTTTTGAAATTTCTGCTCCTTAGAGACTTGTTTTTGAATGATAGCAAACCACCCTGAATCATCTGCTTAGGTGGGATAAACAGGAAAAGATGCAGACAAATCTAGCTGAAATTGTTGGCTATGAAAGGTATCTCAATAGTTTGAACGATCAACGGGCAAGATGCAATACAGATTTGACCCTTGTGAACATTTGGTTTCTAACGGACAAATATGGTTTGATTATTGCAGAACTTGTTTTGGTAGGCATGTTGAGACCATGATAATGAGTTCATGTATTGGAACGTGTTATTCAACAAAAAAAAAAACTCGTGTGAGATGGAGCATAAAATGCACTCACACCGAGAGAAAAAAAAAGAGCTAGTGTGAGATGGAGCATAAAATGCACTCACACTAAAAGAATAAGAAAAGGGTGAGATGGAGCATAAAATGCATTCATCCTTAGATCCCAAACCCTAATTCACCTTTTGATGCATTGGACTCATGATAAGTGGTGGAGATGTGATACATAAGCAAGCTTATGGTAATAACATTCTTTGTTTTGTTTTGAAAAATCGTGAGAAGGTATTTTTGAATCTTGTTGCATGTGATTATGAAAACAAAGAGGGCTTACTCTAGTCCTAAATTATTCATGTGAAGAGATGCCTGTTTCCCTTGATTGTCGATTTCACTTTGGGACATTAGGATTGGCGATTTAAGATTATTTTTTGTCAAGTTAAAGAGGAAAAGAAGTGGATGACGGGAATGATCATGAATACTAATCAAGGCATGCGGGAGAACAAATACCCTGTTAAGAAAAATCCAAAACAATCTTTTAGTTAGCTTGCTTTTGTTTTAATTTTGTTTTGAGTTTTGTCTTGCCTGAGGATGGGCAAGAGTTTAAGTGTGGGGGGTTTGATGAGAGTAGAATTTATCATATTTTTATCCCCAATTATTATGTCTTTTATACCAAATTAGCATCTAATTGGACTCATATTTCTGTTCAAGGCATGAAAGAATGTATCAGGAGCAAAGAAAGACAAATCGGATGATTTTTCACAGTTCCGACGTCGTTTAGTAATCTGGGCGTAACTCGCGTATCTGAACTCCGAATAGGCTGATTCAAGATCCACTGGAAAGAAAAGAGAAAAATCCACAACTTTCATGTTTTGGGCTTTCGCAGATTCAAACTACATCAAAGTCAAATCCGGGCCCAAAGTCAGGGCAAATTCACGGGAAGACCCAATCCGCAGCTGAAGCCCAACTTGCAGAAAAGTCTGACTGAAGCCTAATTCGCAGAGGAGGTCTAATACGAATCCAGGAACAAGAAACTGAGAAGAGTCCTACAGATCTAAATTCTTGATGTAATTTTAGAGAGATAAGAGGATTGAGTTCATTAGATAAAAAGATAAGATTAGAATTAGGATAGGACTTTCTATTCTTGTAAAGTTCAACTTCAAGAGGAAGTAGGAGACCACCCCCTCCCCTTTAAGCTATATAAAGGAGGGGGCAGAGTAGCTTTAGGGATCACACAATCACTCAATCTTGGGGATTGAATCAAGAAACAAGGAGCAATCAGTCAAGAAAGGTTCAAGAATTCAAGAAACTTTCAAGAAGAAGGGGGCGGCAAGAAGAGGAGATCTCAGCATCATGGGCGAATTCAAGAATTCTTTATTTCCCTTTGTTTGCTTTAATTCTTCTATCATGAACTGATTTGTCTCTTGCTAGGGCTGAGGAAAGCCTAACCATGTCAATGAATATATTTTTRTCTTTATGATTTATCCAAGATTGTGATTTCCATATTGTCTATGAATTATTGTGCTTAATGCAATTAAGA